CACAGAACTTTAATTTCCATGCTTAGTTTTAAATGGGAGATATTTGTCAAGGATGCAAAGTTTTATTTATACAAGGTGGGTAGTTCCCAGAAATCTACTGTACAGAATAGTACCTATAGCAACAATATAGGCACTAATATTGTGTACTTCAGATTTCACCAAGAGAGTGGATTTATATTATGTACACACACACACACACACACACACACAACCTGGGAGGAAACTTTTGGAAGCAATAGATATGTTCGCAGCATAGATTACTGTGATAGTTTCACAGGTGCATTCTTATCTCAAAATCATCAAGTGGTATTCATTAAATAGATGTACCTTTTTGTATTTCAATCATACCTCAATAAAGTGAGATTTTTCAAAAGGAATAAAGTAAACTAATAAAAACAACTGGCAAATGTAGCATAGGAGAGAATAAAAGGCTTGATGTGTGGCCTTGAGTTCGAATTCCAGCCTTGCTAGTGCTAGCTGTGGGATATTAGGCAAGTTGCTGAACCTCTTTGCACCTTAGTTTTCTCATTTATGAGGGTAGGATTTTTATTAATCATACCTGTCTTCATGCATTAAATGAGATTTTATATATATATATACACATATAGATATCTATATGTGTATATATATATATACATATATATATATATGTATATATATATATACATATATATATATATGTATATATATATATAAAATCTAGCAAAGTGAGTGGAAATGAATATTTGCTTAATAAATGGCAGTAAGACCCGGGTGATGGCTCACACCTGTAATCCCAGCACTTTGGGAGGCCAAGGCAGGCAGATCACCTGAGGTCGGGAGTTTCAGACCAGCCTGACCAACATGGAGAAACCCTGTCTTTACTAAAAATACAAAATTAGCTGGGCATGGTGGAGGAGGCTTGTAATCCCAGCTACTCAGGAGGCTGAGGCAGGAGAACCACTTGAACCCGGGAGGTGGAGGTAACGGTGAAGCCCAAATCACATCATTCCACTCTAGCCTGGGCAACAAGAGCAAAACTCCATCTCAAAATAAATAAATAAATAAATAAATGGCAATAATTATTGTGATGTAATTGAAAGCAAATTTTTTAATGTTAAGGTGTTTTGATCTTCATTTTGAACATTTTAATTCATATATTTATGAATTTTAGGTTCTTCATAGGTACTGGTTAAAATGCCCTCACAGATCTGGATTTGAAATTTGCTACATATCTTGCTTGCAGGTTAATCTTTCTCCTTCTCAGTGTTACTGTATGGGAACTGGGGGGAAACTCATATGTACCTAAGCAACGTGCCTGGTGTGTAATAATCATTCAAAAATTTAGCTATTATTCATTCATTCCTTCATCTAAAAAATTTAGCATTTTGATGTTAGTGTTCTCATTGAACACTAACACTTTTCTTAAAATAGTTAAACATTTAACTTTTTCATGGGGCTTTGAATTTTTTTGTACTTTTATAATTTCTCTGAAGAGATATTGCATAGGTTAAAATTCACTTCATTGCAGCTAGTTACATCCATTTACATTATTTATCCTTTCTCTGTTGGGGTGTGTGTGTGTGTATACATTTGTGTGTGTGTGTGTATTTCTATGGAACAATTTTCCACATTTATGTATTTGCCCACCCCCTTGTGTGTCTTATGAAAAATAGGATTTGAATTTAACTTTTTGGCATGAAATTCTGACTCATTTCTTGGCCTGCTTGTTTTTCACTTTATTCAAAACAAATTCAAAAGTAAGCCTGGGGTGATGGAGCATGCCTGTAGACCCAGTTACATGCAAGGCTGAGACAGGAGGACAGCTTACACCGAGGAGTTTGAGACTGTAGTGTACCATGATTGCTCCTATTAATAGCTACTGCACTTCTGCCTAAATTGATAGTCATTGAAGACAGAAAATTCCATATGTTTTGTAAGAATATCCTTTCTTGTATATCATATATAGTTCAGCAGTTGCCATTTAATGAAGTTCCAGTGATCTCTCAAATGGAAGAGTGTGTTCAAATTAGGTAAAACTATCCATTACCTCAAATTCCATGATCAAAACACTAGAAATACATTTCTTAATAATTCCTTTAACTTCTCTACCTTAATTCAGAAATAAGATAAGGTTTTGAAGTAATTTGAGGATGTCATAAAATAACCTTTTTTTTTCCTTTGGTATATCTAAAATTTCTTTACAAATACATGTCAAAAGATCTGACAATATTCTATTTAATATTTAAATCAGTTACACTATTCTGTCAATTCTATCTCAGAAGTGTTTGTCAAAAAAACCCTCTCAATTCACCCCATGGCTCCTGTCTTAATTTGGGTCTTCACCATCTCTCACTGACAGATTGAAGATTGAATGGTTGAAAGTAGCATTTGGGGAACACCTACTCAGGGCTGGAGATGTAATGATGTACCAGATCAATGCCATCTCTCCCTTCATCCAACGCCTACTATACCTCTTGTTGCATTAGGCTTTTCCCGACTTTCAGCCGTCACCTCGCTCTCCTTCCGCATATAGAGAAGCTTCTATAGCATCTCTACCCAGTTTGTTTCTTAAAACCTTTCAATGGTCTTCACTGATCAAAGGTTAAATTCCAAATTCTTGACCTTATATAAGGGCTCCGGCCAACTTCTTGACACTGAAATACCTACCATTTTCCACATTTAGTCTTTGAAGACTCAGTTCAGAACTCTCTTTTTTCATTGCCTTCTCCATCTGTCTTTGGCTGGCTTAGTTCGTTCTATGAATACTCACAATTCTTTAAATAGACTTCCCCTAGGGTAGTCATGGTATCCTAAATATTCTTCTCTCATTTGACTGTGAACAAACGAATGGAACCCCTGAAAATAACCACTTTGATTAATGGTTATTCTAATATCTAAAAGAATTTCTAATTCATTCTTTCATCACATGCCTATTAACCATTAGTTACAAGTTTGGGACTCTGGGTACTAGATAGCAAAAACCCTGTAGATGCGTTCTCTGCCTTCACTGTTCGTACTTTGAGAATAAATTAAAACAAGCAGAACTTTCTGGTAAGTTATTTGGGGTAATTATGCTTTGGAAAGCTGTGGGTGTTAAAGACTAAAAAAAGTGACATGATAGGAAGCTTGTCTGGCTCTGACTTTCAGTAGAGAGCCTATGTCTAGTTTGTGGTGGTCTGGAGCTTCCTCAGCCAGTCCCAAGGTCCAGTCATCATGGTCTTGAGAAAATGGCATTCACCTGGGGATAATTTCTGTGTATTCATTGGGCAGTTCATATAGTTTTTTTGGTGATAAATCATAGGTTAGAACCAGTGGAAAACACTTTCCTTTTAATTCTTGTTTTCCTCAGACAAATTTAATGGACAATAAGACTTGAAGGTTTTGGATTGAATTTTATGTTTACATTTTAAAAAAGTATTTCCCCCCTCACACACCCTTTCCCCTTTTCTCCTGCTACTTCTTATTCCTCTTCCTCCTTATCCTCTTCTTCCCTCTCTCCCTCCCTCCTTCCTTCCTTCTTTCCTTCCTTCCCTCCTTCCTTCCTTTTCCTTCCTCCATCTTTCTTCCCCTTTTTCTTCTCCTCCTCTTCTTTCTCTTTTTCCTTTTCTTCCTCTTCTCCTCCTTTTCCCCCTTGTCCCCTCCTCATCCTCCTCTACCTTTCTCCTTTTCCTTCTCCTCTTCTCTCTCTCAAACCTTTTTTTTTTTTTTTTTGCCCTACCATTTCATGGTGCCGATTACCATGTTAAGGACATAGAAGACATTACATAATAAGACAGGATGACAATCTCTTTGCTAGTCAGCTTTATTTTCATATTGTATAAAGTGTATACACAAGATACAAAAGAGACTACAGTGTTAATCAAGAAAATAATTGATTTCCCAGATTATAAAATGTCTAGACTTTATATTAAAAGCAAAAGACATGGATTTTTGAAAATGTAGGGTTTTTTGTGGTTTGTGTTTTTAAGCATTCTTCTGGGACAGAGGAGGAAAAAATTACTTTATGAGTTGGTAAGACAATGCTGTATCTTCAAAGCTTGACTTAATTTTAAGTGGTAGTGTTCATATTGCAATTCACATTGCACAAGCGTTCCCCATGGTATATATTCAGTAGAATTTATTTTGCTTCCATACCATGTATTGGAAGTAAAACTTCTTGGATTCCATAGGTTGCATAAGTAGGTTATTGAAATATGAACACCCAGAAATAGTGAGCTTGTAAATGTATATTGTACATTTTCATATTAACCAAAAGATTTTTGAAGTTTAGTCTACTCTGCATATACTTTTAAGACCTTAATAATCAGACTCAATAATAATAGGTATATGTGCTTAAAGTGAAATTGTGAAAAGCTATGGATTTACCATCTTGTAGAGGATGTACCACATACTTTTGTCCAGAAATAGATAGCATGCCCTAGAAGTATGACTTTTTCTCATCCATTACCTCTGTGAGTTAAAAACCACAAAGTTGAAATATAGTCTGCAAGACATACTGAAAATATATGTGTGAAGCAGTGCTAAACTTAATTGATACGTTGAGACAGATATAAAACATACAGCCACTAGGCTGAGAAAATGAAAATTAATGTATGAACATTTTAGTTAAGGCTGTGCTTTGCCCCAGAACCTGGTGTTTATTATTATGTGCTTTTAGTAGGAGAGAGAAGCAGTATCAATTGGAAAAACATTTCTTAGTGGATTGAGAACAGTATAGCTTTCTAGTTCCTAAGCGGGAAACCTGGTTCTTTGGTTTCTTTGTTCCTAGTTAGGCTTGTCCCCAGTTATTTCAGCTGAACATTTTACATACTAATGGAGTCCAGGGAAGTGTATTTGGCAGCTGCTCATGGTATAATAATGAAATACACTATTTAGTACTGTTTGCTGCTGCTGTAAAGTGTGTGGGGTATTTTATAGAGAACTTAGTGAACAGAGCTATATCGATTTTAACAAGTGTGTGAACCTGAATGAGGAAGTTGTACTTTCATATGAGAATAACTAGTACTCTTTTCTTACAGGTAAAGAAAACGTGCACAGAGTCAGATGTTTCAGAACCTCAGAATTCCAGGTACAGTAAAATAAAGACCAAGACTCCTCTAAGGAGAATTGCAGTTTTGGAGCACTAGTAAGATGTTATACGTGAGACACAACTGTGATTTGAAATGTTGAGCTTCTTGAAGAACTAATCCTTATGGAAATTGTGTATCATGCTGGCTAGCGTACTACTGATCATAATATTAGTAAAAAGGACTGATTGAAGTCAGTTTTAAGGAAGAATAGTAGAGATAGCTCTAGAAATACATGAAAAAAAATCCCTTGGCGTTAAGTTAATCTTAATTTTTTTTGTTCTAATCTCTTTTTATAATGTTTTGAATCTAAAATTATGCCAGACACTGAATAACAGTCAAATTTGTGTTTACAATATATATATGTAATATATATATATATATATTTTCTTTGCAATGAAACATTGCTACATTTTGAGAATGTTATCAAATTAGAAAACTCAGTTAACTTGGCATTCTCTTTTTGGTTATTTGGAGCCTGTGGAAATGATGAATTAAAGTGGTCAGACCACTTCGTATAGGAATTTAGCACCATTTAGTTGTTTGTGGTTGAACCAGCTGCAACAGACTTTTTTTCAGACCTACACATTTTCATTGCTTTCATTTCAAAATCCAGGCTGCAATTTTAAAAGGATAAGCAAACGTATTGTAAATACTATGACAATAAACAACACATGTCCTTACTATGTTGAGTGATATGACTTAACGTGTTACATTAGGAAATTTGTATTCAATTGAGAGATGGGTCTTGGTTTCTTTTATCCTACTCACTCTGGCATGTGATGCATGTAGTGATTTTCTTGGTACACCAGCACATTGCAGATCTAGGTAACATGTTAATGGCCACTGTGTTTTTCTTTTTGTAGAGTAAGTATATCTTATTTATAGTCCGCTTATAGTTTGAGTAACTCTTGCTTTGTTTTAGGCAGTATGATGTTCCTATAATTGATTCCTGTACATATTATATTTAAATGATCGTATATAGTTTTTCCCTTTGGATCATGAAGAGCATATGATATGATATTGGATTTTTGATCTTTGATTTTTGTTCTGTGTAGTTTGCTATCAAAATGGAACTAACTGATTTTAGATTACTGGAGCATTAGGAAATGGATGAACCATTAAATTTTACCCTACAAAGCAGAGTAGTTCTAGGATATACAAAGAGAAGAGAAGGCTGGGGATCTATTCCTTGGAGTCATCTCTCTTCCTAAGTATTTGCTGACCTATGTGAGTGACCTACTTATGACTTGCTTTGTAAGGATGGTATACGTAAATAGATAATTTTTGCAAGCAGTTGATCTTGGGAATTAGGAAAAACAGAGCAATATAATCATCCTTATTATTAATATTTCATATCAAAATTTTTTAGGCTTGAGGCCACTCAGGATTTTTGTACAGATAAAACTATGCTTAAATCAGTTTTAAGTTTTTGATTTCTTTCCTCATGGAAAGGAATCAAACTGATTCATTGTTCATAGCTGGTATCAGTAAGTTGGAGAAGAAATAGAAAGAGTTCAGAGCTCATTGTGTTTAAACTTGGAATTAGATCATTCTTTTTTATCTAGAAAATCCCATCCCACGTGGCCTTAAATATACAATTTTATTTTTAAGAATAATAATGGTTATTTTTAAAGCCTTTTAAAATTTATTTGTCATTTAATAATAAATGTCTGTAAATTGAAAACTAGCCAGAGTTCCTGGAAATCAGCAGTTAATTGCCATGGATTAGCTGCTGCTTAAAGTTTCCTCATCTATAATATACATGGGTAAAATCAGGCAAATCCGTTTCTAAGAACTTTATAACTTGGTGATATCAAAAACAAGCAAACAGATAAAATAATTTTTCTAAAAATGTGAGATGGAAAGACCTTCCAGAAGACCTAGAGTCATTTATTGGTTCAGGTATTTTGATAGTGACTGGTCTCCTCTCCTGACCTGTGATACAAGGGCCAATCTCCACTTTCTTCTCAATATCTATTAGTAGCATAAAAATGTGACTATTCTTGAATCCTGTAATTATACACTAATATTAGGTCTAAGAGTGCCAGAACTGGCACTTAGTTAATGTATTGATGGAACACCAAGGAAAGAATAAAGATATACTGAAGAGCACTCTGCACAAAAAGGATTCGAGAATTTACTGAATAGTGAATACATCAAGGAGTGCTTAAAATAGCATTTGTTATATGCATATACTGAGGTTCAGTTTTTATAACCTGTCAAAAAACAAAACAAAAGACAACCAAACAAGAAAAATGTCTCTAATGTAGACACTAGGCAGCATTGCTTTAAACATACATATATGGGTACATTCTTTTTTACTCATTAAGTACCACAAACATATATATTTTCTTTCTTATATCTTTCTCTCTCTCTCTCTGTATGTGTGTGTATGTGTGTGTGTATGAAAGAGAGAGAGAGAAACAGAAAGAGAGAGACAGAGAGAGATTCAGACTGAGATTTAAAGCTTTAAAGCCTGGGGCTAGGTAATTTTATTCTAAACAAATATCAAGGAAAGAATTGATCACAAAATGAAATACTGTATTCACATAAAATGTGAGCTGGAGACCTACTGCCTAAAAAATGCTGCCTCACTTGGAACCTAAAGCTAATATCATTCATTTTATTTAGTTAGCTTTATAGTATGTTCGTTTTGCATTTGAAATGATTAGAATAAATGCAGATGGAAAGTGTTTTTATAGTAGGGAAGTAATTAAATTGGGCGTGGAGACTTTGTCAAGAGAATTCTTGAAGTGACATATGTGTATCAGCAAATTCTTTTTCTTATTTGTCCTTCATTATTTTGGGAAGAAATGCTTGGGCTGCAGATGTAACTGGCAGATTGGGAAAAAGAGAATTTATAAACCCATGGAGTATAACTAAGGCACCAAACTATCTTTTCTGAAATAACATTACCTTTATATACTAAAAGCCAGACATCAGGGACAGTATTTTTTTCTCTGATTCCTGAAGCTACTAAACTTGATGTCATATGGAAAGGGATATGATGTGCTTTATGTAAAATCTGACATTCCTGAAATGTTTTTCTTTTTCTCCTTTCCTCTGTGTTGCTAACCATGTCCAGGATATACTCTTGTTGGACTTTAACCATAAAATGAGTTCATGAGAAAAACAAAATTTATATCCTTACCCTAAAATTAAGTTTGTTACTAGATAGACCGTCTTAAAACATAAATGATATTTTGCATTGATGTTTTTTCTGTATTCATGGTGAATTTATTTGTGTCGATTTGCGTCCCATTTGAGTCATCACTGAACATACATGGTTTTTATTTAATGTAAAAGCTCCTGGACAAATGAATTTTACAGCAGAAGTTTCCATGAATCTTATTTTTTAAACTCCTCTACTTTCAGTCCCTTTTATTTCTGATAATGAGGGGAGGAAATAATTTATCTCATTTTTGAATTGTATACTTTGCAAATATCTCAGAGTGTCTCTGTGTTAAAGTAGTGCCTATAACACACAAAGATTTCTCTGTTGAATTTCTGTTTCTGTTTCTCTTTGCTTTTTCTCTCTTGGGTCACTGACTAGCAGTTTCACTAAGAAGAGATCAAAGACATAGGAAAGAAATAAAACTCAAAATAGGAAATTTTTGTTTTATACTTGTTAATTAGGGAGTGAATGGAAATATAAATTGGGCTGTGAAGTGACTTAACAGGAAGTAAGCCAGTTCTTGTCCCCCGCTGCTTTGTTTCATCCTGGCCACGGTGTCGCCAGTAGAATGAAGTAAGGAGATCTAAGGAGGATCTTAAAATATAGGAAGAACTTATGGTATGTATGAGCTAAGATGATAGTTTTTCCACATGGAGGTAACAAAAGATTCTGTGGGTAGTGGGGAAGATTGACTCTTCTCAACTTCGTAAGTTAAAGAAATTGAGTTTGCTGAGAACTTAATGATTACCTGAAATTAGCAGAGTCCTCAGCCTGTGTCTCTTCTTGCCCTAGCCTTTACTAACTTTCCAATTATTAAGAGAAAGGCAAAATGACTTTCCAGTTTTTAAAGAAGCATTGGAATTAGTTTCAGTTTAATATGTAATATTTAAGTGAGCCTCATGGAGTTTATGTATTCGTTGTCTACATGTAACAGTTTAAAAAAATGAAATTCCCAGTTCATCTTCTGTCGACAGTTGTGATTTAATAATGTTTAATGTGTTAAATTATACATACTTATTTGCTTGTAAAATAATTATTGCAATGCTTCCAGAAGACTGAAATGTTTATCTAGATATAATTACCTGCCTCAAAATTAAATGCTGTGTTGTCTTCATAGCGGGGAAAGCTGAGGGCCCCTTTGTGAAACATGCATAGTATTTCACTATGTCAAATCAGAGGTCCAGCTAGCCCAATATTCTGTCTCCAAGAAGTATCAAAAATCATTACTGCCAGTTTGCATTTTTCTTAAACTTGAAAATTTAGGGATATTGTTCTAAATAACTTAGATTCATTCAGTAGCACGAAATAGTTGTACAATCCACAGAATTAGGTAACCATTTATGGGACTTAATTAAATTATTATCATATATTATCTTTTTGACTAATGAACATAGAAATTACTAATCACAATGCAAAGTAATGACTAATTCCTTTAAGTATTAAAAACTACCTCTTTCAAATTATAAGGCATACTTTCCTTGAAAATGATAGATATTCTAATAGATAAGTATTCTAGAGTGTGATTTAATTCTCATGTCATTTATTTAACCTGAGTCATATTATACCTTAATCCTTTTCTTTCCCAATTTGGAAAGTGTTTTGTCTTGTTTCAAAGTCTGGCCTCATGTGGATGCTTCTCTAGTCTTTTCTTCATTTTGGCTGGCATTCACTCGAGATTTTCTGAATTGTTTTATATTTTCTGGGGTGTGCTGGCAGATTCCTGCAGATGTGGATGCAGATGGGTCTGTGAATGAGGGTGAATGATGTGCTCTGTTTGGCTGTTGTGTCTTCAATAGCTGGCCTATCTTGATCCTTTGTTCGCGG